ATATATAATAAGAGATATTTAACTTTATAATATTTACACAAATGCACTATCATCAATCGCTGAAGCTCAAATCAAAAAAGACCCGTGCCTTAGTTAATCAGTACATTAAAGAAAGGCTATTATTAAGTAAAAAGCCGTATCTCTGTTCGGTCCAAGTATTTGAAACAATTTTCATATGAACTTTGTTTTCTGTAGCTTTCGTTAGGAACTTGTGACAATCGGTTGAAATTCGCTGTCTTGGACCTGTATTCTCCTACTTCTGAGTCATCTGATAATCTACTTTCACCGTGTCTTGACAAAAAACCGCTATTTAAGTTTTCATTTATTGTTTCTTTTTCTGCTTGATCGTAGTAATCTGATCGCTTTTCGCGTACTGGTTGGCCATTTTCATCGTCAAATTCCACAAAGTCATCAGAACTGATTGAACGTTGAAAACGGTTTGTAAACATATTTAACGGTGGTCTAAACGAAGAATAGAAGCTATCGCTCTCCGCATGTTTTGAGGGTTCCATAGGGGAGCCTGAATCCTTCATCAAATGATTGGCAGGAATTAGTGGAGGTAAAGTTGGTAAAGTTGGTAGCGTGAACAGCAAAGGTGGTAGGGTTGGAAGGTTTCCAAAAGATGTCGGTTGCACTTTAGCGACCGGTTCAATTGGTTTCATATGTGAAGACCAAGTCCTTGAACCCATTGTTGCCGGATCCTGAGGTCGGATGGGGATTGGCGGTGCATCTGCTGCCTCTTCTAAGGGATTTTCTTGTGTAGAAGGCTGAGTGTCGTAATCAGTGGTGTCTTTTGATTCTATTGTTGTGAACAACCTAAAAAATAATGCTTTTTATCACTTTTGAAAACCGGTTTAAACTGATAGCAAGCAGATTTAAACGAATAGTACTGATAAGATCTATGCATTTTTATCATTGGACAGTGAGAGCTGTTCTAAGAAATCGCTTTCTCGTACTTCTTTCTTATATCACATACTGGCGCAACTAGTGTATAAGAGTAAAGTCAAAGGTAATAATTTACTTGTCTACTAGCTGAAATCCTTTAGCAAACAATTTGCATTCCGCTTTACTAAGTCCCTGTTCATGACAGACGGCCAACAGTGCATCCGGATCCCTGAAATTCGGAAACTTTTACATACACCAAATTACAGTCCCAATACCTACAAAAATGACAAATATTATTCCTCACTGCACAATCTTACAGGTTGTCAGCTGTAATCATGAGTTGACAACAAAATAGAAATATTAGACACGCTCGGATCAATTTATTTTGGCAGCTTTTTCAGAAAATTAAAATTGCTATGTAAATTTCACGCAGTTAGCTAAAAAAACTCTTAAAATGATAGAATTTGATTAGAAGACTTGATGCAGGTAATACTAATGCATAACAGCTGCCTTCAAGTTTTAAAAGAACAATGAGGTATTTATCTTTTTATTATTTAAGAAGAATGACAAAAATTTTGGAACAGGAACTTGTTAGATAGAGAAAATTTTTTTTTCTGCAGTAAGAATCAAAACCGCTTTTGCTTTATTGGAGCAATAAGCTTATAAAAGGTTTGAAAAGTTACAGAAAGTAAATTTGCGCGGTACCTGCTAATCCCTTTACGCAGTTTTTTGTCTGCCAAAACCTGAGCTGCTAGATTAAGATTTGCAAAAGACTGGTCATTCTTGAAATTTCGAGCTGTACAGGAAATAAAGCTGCAAATTGCTGAATTTCCTCTACAGATTGGTACATCCTGCAGTGACGAATAGCGAGGAGAACCAAGAATTTCGGCGTCGCGATACGATACCGTTTCCTCACTTAACTAAACACAACATTCTATAACAAAGGATGTGTGAAATGACATTCAGAAGCGTTGTTACAGCTAAGGCTTTCTACTAAAATCCAAACTTACTGATTTCGTTTACTCATTATTGCCAAAACTGCTGAAACTGATACCTCAGAAAGTGCTTCCGTTCTGTCATTGAATAACAAAATAACCAAAGACAAATATTATTTTTCATGTCTATTATTCAAATTTAATTTAAAGATGCAAACTTTAGGGGAGTACTAAAAGCGATACGCTTAATAGCAATCATTTGAAGTTAGAAAAATCCTCACAAAAGTTTTTTTGAGAGAAAGATAAAACTACCAAAAAATGCATTTATTCCAAGTTATCGAGAGGAGAGACTTTTGTTTCAAAAGATTCAAGTTAATTTTTATTCAAATTAAAAAGTTGATTTAAAAATGGTGTTGGAGACTCGCTGTTCCAAGAAAAATCTGTGGAAACCAACGAACCTGTTTTGGAATTTTAGTGTCATCTTGAAGCGGTTTTGATGTATCGATCATTGGACGTACAAGATTTAGAGCACTGTCAATGATGGCCCCTAGTGAAACTAAAATTTTACGCTTAAAGAAGGCCTCAAAACGGCAGTCTTGAAAGCAGTAGATATGAGTATCAATTTCTATGACAGAAGTGAGAACCTTTCTGTCAGTCATTGTTTTAGCCGATTTCAAATGACCAACAGAGCAAAATGCATCTTCGTAGCGCCATTTTAACGATATTAGGTTTGTTGTAAGTTTAGAAATGTAACAGTTAATTAATAATGCAATCCAAAAATTCGAAGACACTTTTACCAAAAATAAGTTCCAAAATCTAATTCTAATTTGAAGTCTGGCAAAGTTATGTTAAATATTTTTTTGTTTACAGGACTTTATAAACCTGTTTATTTTAACCTATCGATTCCAACTAATGCTAAGCGAAGTGTAAATATCGCAAAAATGTTCAGATTACCTCAAACGCAGAGTAAAGGTCGACCTGTTTTATAGTATTATTTTTACAATTCAAAATAATCAATGCTTTTTTTGACCTCAAACATAGAAATTTTTTGCTTTTCTTATCAAGCTGTTCTAAATTTTTTTGCCTACTCTTTGTCATTGATCTGTATCAGCCAGATTTTGTACTGACTGATTAAAAACGAGTAAAATATAAAATTCCGAAACAATTTTGACCTTGATAAGCAAATGGGTGATGAGAAAGTGAAAATTTATCACTGTATAGTTACTTCGAAACTGTTTCAATAACTTGTAAAACATAAACAGTGAGCAAAAAAAGATCTGAGAAATGCTGAAAAAATAGTTTGAAGTCAAACCATTGTTAAATCAGAATCTACAAAAGACAATACCTCCTTGACGTTTTGAACGTTTTACTTCCACATTTTTTCCTTCAACAATAAGTAATGTGATGAGCAGAATACAAGTAAAGTAGACGACTTTTGCCATACAGAACACCATCCAAATGACAGGCTAAAGGAATCACAAAATTTAAAGAAGCTTTTTTATTTAGATGCAAAAAATATAGCACGCTAGTCATCAGAATCATCGTAACAGAACAGTTGAAGAAGTTTAAAAATGCTTTTATCCCGAAAGCTGATAATATGATAAAAATAAATTTTTTTTTTTTTCAGAAAATTGTTGGCCTAACAAATAAAAGTCATGTATGACATAAAATTTGTAATAATACTTATGAAGAAAAAGGTTATATTTTAGATTATTTCAGTTAGAAATAATAAGTAAAAAACAAAAACAACAAAAAACAACAACAAAAAACAAAAAAAAAGAATAGAGGAAGAAAAAATAGAGACAGATTTGATTAGTGAAAAAAATCAATGAAATTGATTTTACCCACCAAAGAGACAGATATTCGTAATTCATGTCTGTTTTCTTGCTGAAACGTGAAAAAAACACTATTTTTGAGAATTAGAAGAGAAAAAAAAAAA